TGAACGATTTACAACCTCTAACGACTACACTGAACGATTTACAACCTCTAACGACTACACTGAACGAGTTACAGCCTCTAACGACTACACTGAACGCTTGACCAACCACCAACTGTTACACTGATCTAACCATCCCTAACTACCACCACCAACTACTGCCCATTAATTTACTCCGTGATTTCACACAGAAATCACAATAGCGTGATGCATTAACTGAACAAATCCACAAGGGAATTGTGTCGTAGGGGCCATGTCGTAGCTCAGTCGATTAAGGCAGCGTCTGGGATGCTCCCGGACGTAGGTTCGAATCCTCGTCACGGCCCTTGTGGATCTGTTCTCTGTGATTTCATTTAGCAGCACAGTAGAGAGGGGGGGGGAAAGGCAGATACGAATGACCTTTTTAGACTAGTGAGCCATTAGCTTCAAAATCAACAAATTTTAGAACTAGAAAACACCTCTGACCTTGTTTTCACCGCTGATAAATCACAAACTCGTGCCAATTAGCGGAGATAAGCTAAATAAGACGATGCTGAACCAGTGCCTCTTGAGGATAAGTTGAGTGCCACTGTCAGCATATTTGAGACATGTGCCAATAAGATCCCTGTGGTGGAGAGGTAGCGTGCTCGACACACAGTTTGAGGACGATTTCGACCGGGTTCAAGCCCGAGACAGGGTTAATAGGAAACCTGGTAGAGGTAGAAGAGGTAGGGGAGGTAGAGATAAAAGAGCCTATTGGCAGAGCTCGGGTGCATGGGGGAATTGCGTAAAACCCTGGTTTGTGTCTCTGATAGGCTGCAGGACCCACGGTGGATCAGGATCATTTCCCGGTTGCAATTCTTTTTTCCATGTCGTAGCTCAGTCGATTAAGGCAGCGTCTGGGATCCTCTCGGGTGTAAGTTCGAACCCTCGTCACGGCCCTTGTGGATTTGTTCATTAAACCTGGTGTTACCTGTTCCCCCCCCCCCACACAACCCTATTCTCAAGCGCCCTTCAGCTCACCTGTACAAAGAGTTGGGGGGGGGGGGTTCTTTGCTAACAAATAGGGTTATAATGGGCTACGACTCCCAAACAGGGTTGAAATTGGATACGGGATGGAAATAGGATTATAACAGAAGCCTACGACACTCCAAATTGAGCTTCGGTTTGTGATGATACGTTAGGAAAATACGTTTTCGTGATTGACACATATATTATATGTGTCAATCACGAAAGTTTAACACGTGATGAAAAATGTGACAAGTGTCAGACCACAGAGGAAGAATTGAAACCGGAATTTCCTTAAGTACTTTCGTATTTAATTATACATCTTCAGAATTATTTATTATTAATATTAGAATGAATATTAAATCTAAAGTTAACACTAAAGAGGTTGAACGAAACTTTTCATGTAATATCAATTGCATCATATTTCAAAACCGAAAATGAACTTAGAAAAATAACACATCTTCATTTGAAAACAAAAATATTTTAGATCAAGGCATATGAATAACCTCTGGTAATTTACAGGTAACAAAAACTATATTAATAAAACTAGACTAGAGTTAACATGTAACTATGACCCTGGTATTGGAGAGATCACAGCTCCCGAGGCCCGGCATCTGACCAACCAGACTATTACTGCTCGCGGTTATATTTTAAACAGTGCATAAACTAAACGTGTTTGATCGTTCTGGGGGAAGGGGGGGGGGGTGTTATGAGGTGGGAGGGGGTAGAAGGAGTAGAGGGGTGTGGGGTATAGGGAATGCAGGGAGGGGGGTATAGGGAAGGGGGAGGGGGTATCGGGAAGGGGGAGGGGGGTATAGGGAAGGGGGGAGGGGAGGTATAGGGAAGGAGGGGAGGGGAGGTATAGGGAAGGAGGGGAGGGGAGGTATAGGGAAGGAGGGGAGGGGAGGTATAGGGAAGGAGGGGAGGGGGGTATAGGGAAGAGGGAGGGGGTATAGGGAAGGAGGGGGAGGGGGTATAGGGAAGGAGGGGGAGGGGGTATAGGGAAGGAGGGGGAGGGGGGTATAGGGAAGGGGGAGGGGGGTATAGGGAAGGAGGGGGAGGGGGTATAGAGAAGGGGGAGGGGGGTATAGGGAAGGGGGAGGGAGGTATCGGGAAGGAGGAGGGGGGGTATAGGGAAGGGGGGAGGGGGGGTATAGGGAAGAGGGAGCGGGTATAGGGAAGGAGGGGGAGGGGGTATAGGGAAGGAGGGGGAGGGGGTATAGGGAAGGAGGGGGAGGGGGTATAGGGAAGGAGGGGGAGGGGGTATAGGGAAGGGGGAGGGGGGTATAGGGAAGGAGGGGAGGGGGGTATAGGGAAGGGGGAGGGGGTATAGGGGAGGGGGGTATAAGGAAGGGGGAGGGGGGTATAGGGAAGGGGGAGGGGGGTATAGGGAAGGGGGAGGGGGTATAGGGAAGGGGGAGGGGGGGTATAAGGGCGTGGGACGGCAGCGGTAAAACAAGTCATAAAGAATAGCTGTTGGGCGAGTCCCGGTCCGCGAGGAAATTGTCTAGCAACA